ATACCTCACCGTTGCTACCCACCTCTTCTGGTAACCCAGCTTGTTCTCTCAGCTTCGGTATTTGATCTGCCAGAGGAAGGTATCCAGACAGTCCGACCAGCCCACCCAACTTCCCGGCATACTTCGACACCAAACCAGTCAAAAGTGCCATAGCATGGCCCTGTGAGAACCCTCCCAAGACGATCCTCTCTGTTGGAATGCCCTGATCGACCAAATCATCAATCAGTGTTGTGATGTAGGACACGGTAGTCATCATTCCCTCTTCATCTTCGTCATCTTCGAGCTCAGGTCGCGATGGTGGATAAGGAGAGAGGCGGGTGGGCAGATACCAGGCTGTAGTAGCTAGGTCATGGTTCTCTAGAGCGTTGGGTATGATCCAAGACATGTGTGGCAGTTTATTCGCGGACTGAAACTGGCGAGCGACGCTTTCCAGTCCTTCTGCTTCGTCACCAAGACCGTGGATGAAGATGAAGGCCGCAGACTTAGAAGCATCGCTAGGTGGGGTTGTGGGTGGGAGTACAATTGGCGGTTTCCTTTCGGGCGCCATGCTTGGTTGTATGGGCGATGTGCAGTGACCTAGGTAGCTGGGGTTGTTCGGGCAAGTGGTCATAAGTTCGATCTACGGCTTTCCGGGACTATACATATTAAAGATCTGCCGAGGATGCAATAGCCTTTTGATGATCACGGCTAACATCCGACAAGATGATGACAAGATCGGAAGTAATCCAGATAGTGTACGTACCCCGCATCGATCATGCAGGTACGCGGCATCTGGACTTTGCGACGCGTCGGCATGTGATCCATAATTTCTACACCTCCGGACTCTCCGCATCATCACCTCCTACACTCCACACTTAACCATGCCACACGTCGAAGTACTTCCGAACTCCACGGCGACCGTCGCGCCTGGATGGACGTATGTCGTCGACACAGGCTACGACCCCTCAAAAGTCGCCATCAACCCCAAGAACAAGAAGCGCGCCGCCGCAGCAACACCCGGCGGTCAACGGGCGGAAAATGAGCTCTCTGCACGACAACAGACAGCCATAGCTCGACGGATAGCAGAACTAGAACGCGACAACGACCCCAAGCAGCTTATCACGATACCCGGGAAGCCGAGCGTGCCAAAGACGCAAAACGCAAGGAGGATTATACAATACCAGCGGCAGATCAAGCATTGGCTCGATGATGAAGAAGCGCAACTAGGACAGACGACAACTACGTCAAGGGGAAGCGTGTCTCAACCCACAGGGGGAAGGGGAGCAGCACAAGCCCTGCGAAGGCAAAGCACGTTCGCTTCTGTGCCTGCGACGCCAGTAGAAGCAACACCAGGGCCTCTTCCAGTATCGCAAACTCCATCGCGTCTCGAGGACGCAAATGCAGACGACGCGCTGCTCTCGATCGACGATTCCATACCCGCGCCGTTGAACCCTACCGAGCTCGAGGCTCTACTTGCCGCTCCACCGCTTTCCTACGCTGCAAGCCACGCCGCACCTCCTCCCGCTGGCGGTCCACCACAGAGACAGTTTTGCGACAATTGCGGATACTGGGGACAAATCAAGTGTCGCAAGTGTGGAGCGCGAGTATGTGGGTTAGAGTGCAAAGACGCGCACGAAGCAACCAGGTGCTTGAAGTGGGCATAAGGACAGAGAACGACTGAATATAGCATTGCAATGGCGTTGGTATGCTTTACGATACCCAGATAGTGTCATCTATCTATAGAGCAACATCTTGCTCAATACACGAATTCCTCTCCTACAAGCCTCTCGCTCAGTTTCCACAGCCTCTCTGGGTCTTCCGGGTTCGTCGCAGTTGGCTGCACTTCTTGCGGCGCCACGTTGGCGTTGTCGAGATGCGCGCCGTTGCAGTTGTCCAATCTTGTATCGAAGGCGGCAACAACATGGGTAGCCGCACACTCATCCAGCGACTTCAGGTCAAACTCACGAGCCCAGCCGATCTCTTTGTCCTTGGCCACTGTATGCTTGTCAGAACGGCTATCGTGTCAACTCTCAACAACGACAACTTACCGACACTCTTCATGTCTTCATCGTCGAACTTTTCAGCAAGAGAAGTCCCAATCGTCACTCCTGGATGCAGACTATACGCTTTCAACCCCATCGAACCCAGCTTCTTTGCCAACGCATAGGAGAATAAGATGTTTGCCGTCTTACTCTGGCCATATGCTTCCCACTGATCATACACTTTGCCATCTTGGAAATTCGGATCGTCGAATCGCACACCACTGAAGCGATGACCATCACTGGATATGTTGACGATTCGGGGTGCCTTGGCAGCAAGAATCTTGGGCATGATGAGATTGGTGAAGAGGAAATGACCGATGTGGTTGCATCCGAATTGGTTCTCGATACCGTCCGCTGTAGTACGGTAGGGGCCCTTCATTATGCCTGCTGAGTTTACGAGCACATCGATGTGGGATTCCGGATATGCGAGAACTTCGTTCGCGGCTTCTCGGATCTGCTTTTGCGATGCCAGATCGAGGGTTAAGATACGCACTTCGACGTTGGCGCTCGCTGGGTTGGATTTGATCTTGTCGACTGTGGCTTGAACCTTTGATGGCGAGCGGCCAGCGAGGATCAGAAGAGCGGGTTTGTGCTTTGCGATCTCCTCGACAAACGTTGCTCCCAGACCGCCTTGCGTTACGCCAGTCGTCAAGACGATCTTGCCAGCTATGTTGGATGCGTTGTCTGCTGCGATGGTTGAGGCAAGCGCGTTCTGGCGATTATAGGGTAGTGGTGAAGACATGACAGTACGCAGTCTGGACGAAAGCTAGAGAGGCACCTTGTAACTGTAGGCAAGCGGGACTTTTAGAATTAATCAGATTTTGATCAACCACGGAAACAACCCCCTCTATATGCGTTGTTGATCAGGAAGCCGCCTAGATAATGTTGACTTAGGCTTAACTCCGTCCGCTGTAAGTCCGCGTCTCCATTGAGAACTGTTCACCGATGTACGCTCACTTTACTTTGAGACAATTCAGAGACGAATAATAGAAAGACTTTTTACATTTACTAGTTGCAAATCGGTATATAGATATGTAGCTTCAGCGGAATAATTGGCACAGTACAATGTGACGTCACAGATTGTAGACACCGAGAATACATGCTGCATGCTCTGCTATGCGAGTTTTGATATCGAGAGCAATACATTTAATGTGATGGTCTAGGATAGTGTTGTTTGTTGTGTTGTTGAAACTGAGAAACTGACGAAGTGTTGGTCGTCAAGTGTGTCTACTACAACAAGAATATTAGAATCTGGGTAGCATGAAGCCACTGAGACTACACATCATGTCACTAGTCGGCGGTCTTGCATACGTTTTATACGAAGAAGGTCTCACAGAAAGAAACCGTGGGAAGTATAGAGCGCTTGCCATAATCTGGTGGTGTACACGGTAATGTATATTGTAGAAGCGATCTAGGGTATAACAACCAGCGCATGCGTCCATGCTCCATTTTCCTGTCTCCTCCTCTTCCTTTTCCCGGCATGATGTAGCCGTGACTATGCAGCGCCTGGCGCTTTCGCCTTTTCCTGGGCTTCGAGCTTTCTCCGTGCTGCCAGAATCATCTCCTCTCGCCGTCTTTGCAAGTTTGCTTGCCTCTCACTCTTGTCTGCACTCCATGATTTCGCCTTCGGCTGCTCCTCCTGTGCCGGCTGCGAGACTTGGCTAAGCTTCGAGGACAGATTGTATCGTGTTATCAGATCGGGATGTGCGGGTCTCGCTGGGGCTGGGGATGGTCGCGCCGGTGTAGCTGCGACTCGCGGTGCTGGTGTTGGTATTTGGAAAGACGCTGGTGCCTGTGCATGTGTTAGCATATGTCGACGGCATGACAGGTTTCAAATCGAGAGGCTTACAGTGTCTAACCCTCGCCCGCTCAGGGCCCGCTCCGTTGTCGCCGCAACGTTTCCGCCATTCCTCTGCAGATCCCATGCGATGTCGCGTCTGCTCAACTGCGGCAGCATCTCAGCGACTTGGTCTATTTGCGCAGAGCTCACGCGGAGTGCAGCGCGGTTCGCCGCAGCTCGCGTGCCTGGGGCCGCCGCCGTCGGCTTTCTCAAGTACCATCGTACAGCAAGGAACGTGACGACGATGAAAACGATGACCTGGGGAATGTTGATGCTCTGTTCCGCCATGACTCTGTCTGCGGTATGAGTCGGAGGCTCGTGAGTCGATGCGCTGTGATTGTGTATGTACCGAGGTGCGGCGTAAAGTGCGTTGGTAGCAGCCGAGACTCGCAAATGGGTACCAAAGTTGTAGTTATCTGAGCAACCGTAATTTCAGATCACCGATTGCTTTAAGATTTCAAACGAGAGCGCGATAGCGGTATGAGCGAGTTTACGGACAGTGTATTGAACAGTGTTCTATCAAGTTCAAGTGAGGTCGCCATGTTTCGGACGAGCCTCGGCGAATAGCGAATCACCGAAAGGCCAAGGACCCGCGCTGACCCCTTGATGTCTTTCACTCTCGCAACCCACAAGTTCGCGCCTTCTCCACACTCCACCCTAATCCTTCGTTTTCACCCACGTCGGTCCTAGCCATCTAGGCATACACTCATTTCCAACGATAATCGCTTCAATATGTTATGACGTTTACATGCTTTGAGATACCCCCCATAGTCTATTCACGTTACACACACGCTACGCGCTTTTGATAATTAGTTATGAATGCTCCAGTAATATCACGGAAGCCGCTTCCAGAAGCCGCCCAGGCGCACTTGAAGGACTCGTTCATTCCTACTACTACAATCGGGTCGAAATGGGAAACACCTTTACCTTCAGGTCAACAAACGAAAGATGCCATTAGAGTCACCGCTCCACGTGAAGTGCCCGCACCTGACGATAAGTCACCTCATCATGGAAGGCGGTATGGACTCACCTGTGGTATCATTACTGGTATAAAGACAAGCACTTTTGCTTCGACACTCTCTCGTCACTTTAACAAAAGATACTTCAACAATCACATCAACCGCCGTACACTACTCATCATGATCGGCATCACCTTTACCCTTCTGGCTCTCATCATCGGTCTCGCAGCAGGCTTGACTATCCCCTCCGAGTGAGTCTTCGTGATTTGCCTTCTTTCTAGAGCCTCTGTTAACACCACCTACAGCAATAGTGCCGTGTCTTCAGCCGACGTATCCGACTTTCAAGGCCAACTGACGTTCTACAACCCTGCGATGGGCGCTTGCGGTCATGTTCACGGTGACAACGACCTTGTCATGGCTATTTCTCACGGACGCTGTAAGTGTTGATCGCCGCCAAATCATCTGCGAGATATACACTAACACCGTGTTTTAATCAGTTGACGAGGTTAATCCTTCCAACCCTAACAACAACCCGCTCTGTGGTAGGAAGATTCGAGCTCACCGCGTGGACGAGCGCACTGGCAAGGACGCCAGCGTCATTGTCACCATTGTCGACAAGTGTAAGTACTCCGGATGGCACATCCCGTCTCACGCCACTTCATATTGCTGTTGCTAATGTTTTGCCAGGCATGGCATGTGCTTACGACGACATCGATGTCAGCCCTTCCGCGTTCGACAAGTTGGCTGACAAAGCCAAGGGCAGGGTCAACGTAGAGTGGTCCTGGGCCTGAGCATTGTCACTTGGTTCGCGTCACACAGTCATGACTCAGGGTTGAGTCGACTGTGACACATTACGGCATCTTCTATTACTCACACACTGGTGTGGCATATATATGCTTTCCAATTCTACTGATGATATACTCTTCTTCTACCTTTTGCTTGATACGTGAACCTGTTTACATTGACAGTAACTTTCTACCTTTCGACAATCTACATCTTCCTTGACAGCGCACTGGCATATGCCACACTGTGCGTAGATGGCCATATTTCTCAACAGAAGACTAAGCAGAAGGAGTTCCTCTAAATCTACGACAAGCGTACCACCCCTGAAGATAGGTAGACCCCAGCTTGTCACCGCAGGTTTGGGACCTGAACACGAGACTCAGTATTCCGAGACCAAAACTCGGGCTTTTGAGCCCCCGACTAAAGAAATCATATCGCAGAGACCCCTACCGGATCTTCCCGATATCTCCCCAGTTTTCACATCTTTCACTCAGTCGGAAGATTCGGGAATCGACCCAAGCCGAGATATGGACGACCACCACCTAACAGAACTCAGATACACAGCATACGAAGGCCAATACAAACGTGCCAGCTCCGTATATCCGGGAGATACGACCCAGGACTTCGATGACAAAGATCGTAAAGCAGGGAGAGGATATCCTGACGTGGGCCGCGCCATGTTGAAAGAAGTCATTGCTGGTCCATACCATAGCCAGGAGGAACTTGACGAAGTTCCCTTCCCTCCTCCATCTTTTGAGAAAGCTGCACCACAAAGTGAAAAGCTTAGGAAGCCCCCCAATCAAGATGGTCCATACCATACCGAGGAAAAATGGTACGACGTTCCCTTCACTCGTCCAGCTCTTGAGCAAGCTGCACCACAAAGCGAAAAGCTTAGGAAGTCCCCAAATCAAGATGGTCCAAAGCGAAAACGCAAGTGGTACTGGGCAAAATTTATTCTACCAGCTGTCATCGTACTTATCGGTGTAATAATAGGATTGGTCATTTACGTAAAGCATGGTAGCGGGGATAATCAAGACAAAGCGACGATGGAAAGCGAGACCTTCAGTGCTTCGTCAACGCCGCTTCTGACGGAGTCATCAACCCCTGAGAGGGTCACGAATGCCGCCATACCGTCAGAAAACATACCGTCAAAAAATGTTCCAACGAGCGTCGTGGTTGTTACGTCTTTCATCGAAACGAGCGAGACCCCGTCTTCAACGCCTACGCCTACGCCTACGCCTACGTCCACCCTCGAGTCCAGCTCGGTACAATCATCAAGTTCCCTCAGCAGTCCGTCCTCCCAATCTTCTAACTTCATGCAAAGCACAGCTGTACTCGAAAATCTTGTTGGGAGGAGCGGCTATCTAGACCAACGTGCTGATGGTTCTCTCCGCTACGATTCGCTTCTGGACCTAGAACAAGGTGGATACCTTGATCGAAGAGAGGACCCAGACGACTGCGAAGATGTTACTATAACAATTACTATCACGTTGACAACGACGATCACGAGTACTATTCGAACATCTAGAATGGTAGCTTCCAGTGCTGGCAGCGATTCAGCTTCGCTGCAGCCGTCGGAGCCCGAACCTGCAGAGACCGGTCCGAAGTGCATAACAAATACTATTTACCACACAGATGGTCTACCCATTTCTACAGATACCTGGGATGATACTGCGATCCCCAGCATGGAAGTCTCTTCTGTTGCCGCCGACTCAACGGCTAGTCCAGATACGACACCTCTACCTACCGAACCCTCAGCTACTCTATCTGCAGGTGAAGAGACTGGAGTCATTTCAACATCTTCAGTTGCGCAAGCAGGACGACTAGCACCGTATCCGTGGAATAGTTTACGATATCTCCGGCGCTTTTTGTCGCTGTTCCCTAGGGATAACGAGCAACATCCGCATTTGCTTCCTTCTCTGATCATACCGACTGCGACAACAAAGAATAATGACGCGGATAGAAGCTACATTGTGAAGGTTCTCAGTACGACCAGCAGCAATGCCGCGGTGCGTCGAGAAGTCCAGCATTGGAATTTCATGGGCAAACCGAATCCCACAGTACCTTCGAGGATCCGTGAACGCCGTGAAGTGCCTGCTCAACCACCTTCTCTGTCAGGTACAGAGGCAATGAAGACATACTGGGACGCATATTGGGATTTCCGGCTACTAATCATACAAATGTGCTTCTCCGTCAAATCAGAAAAACCCCCGACATCTGGGGATGTCAAGATGGGCCAAACGCTGAACGAGACCATATGCGATAACTTCGAGCAGGACTTTCCAGCAATAAGCGAAGGAGCAAAATGCGACCACAAGGACTCTTTCGAGAGGCTAAATAATATGGTTAAGGCATTGTGTGCCTTAGCTAGGGAAGGCGAGAAGTATGTTCAAAGTCTGGCTTTGCTTTGCCACGTCCAAGACACTCTCAAGGGAAAGGTATATGAATGTGGAGGGGAAGAAGGAGGGGTGGTATCCGGCACAGGTACGATGATTGCCGCGTCCTTGATGGAGACCTTCGATAGCGGACCATCAATAACTAAGGAAGAGCCTGCACCAAGTGCAGACGTCGAAGTCACCCCAGATAGTGGCCAGATTGCTTCCGATGTTCCCAGCTTCTCACTACAACAGAACGCCGTGGTGAATGCAGACCCTCCTCCTGTCGGTCCCTCTGTTAGTCCTGTTGCTTTGGCTAGTGAGCCTCCACTCGTTACCTCCGCCGCCAGTCTTCTCCCATCGCCCGTCCCCCCCACTCCACCCATACCCGGGAACTCGCCAGTTTCTACTCCACCAACTCCAGCTACTGGCCTTGGAGTTTTACCACCTCACCCATCTCTGACGCCACCAGCCGAATGGACTGTTTCCATGCTTACCTATAGCACACAAGCCGCCAACTACAGTAGCTTGCGTACTATGCCCAGCAATGCTGTCGGAACGCCACCAGTCTACGAAGGTCCACATCTTGCCAGAGACTGGCCGGTTAGCTATCCCTTCGCTATTCCCACAGGCTACGTAGCTCCTAACATCGTACCTGCAGACCCTCAGGTCGGACAGTTGACCCACTTCAATGAAGGTTTAGGAGCATGTGGCCTCCCGGGAATGATTACCACCGACTTCGCCGTTGCTATAAGCTGGGAAATTTTTGACATTGGCCGAGAGATTGGAGGCTCAATTCTGGAAGATGGATGGAAGTCAGAAGGTGTCACCCCAGATGGGAAGCTCGTCAGCTGGCCTAAGGATAAGAGCTCAAGTGCACTATGCAATCAAGGGATTCGGGCATGGATGGCTGATGATGAGGGTAAGAAGTTGGTGGAGCACGAATTTGTGGTCAGAGATCGCTGTGAGGGGTGTAATGTGTCAGACATAGATATCCAGAAGGGGATATTTACCAATTATTGGAGTGCGGAGGCGGAGGGAAGAATCCAAGTCACATGGGAGTGGATGCAGGAGGCACCCACTGACGTGCCAGGATAGAGTTTCAAATTGCCCCGCGTCTTAGCAGGGTGTTCAGTTTGGCGGTTTTGAAACATTGTTATAGGGCCATATGTGTAGATTTAGAATCCGGTTCTGCAGTTTGAAGGAGTTCTTATCCCGCGTTACCTCCAGCGTTGGTCCAGTGCTTCGCGATGGTTTCACTAGGCAGCACGCCATGATTCTTCTTCATCGCATATACCTTCAATGGCCCACCTTTCTCGTCGTAGACTAGCACGGCTGCGCGCTCTTTCGTACGTGTGACGGCATCCCTTAGTTCTGCAAGCACACTCACCATCTTGCGCAATTTATCTTGATTGGCTTCCTCCCATCGGGGGTATTCCTTCTCAGCATCACTGATGCTCACCGAGTGCACCGTACCCTTGTCGTGGTTGCCGTTCATAAAGTAGGGCGTACGACCGAACCAAAGCTGCGGTAGTGCTTCTGTAAGACGTGCGAGCTTCTTGGCTTTGATTTCCGCGAGCTTGGACGGGTTGATGAAGATTCCCTTCTCAACGACTAGTGTAGGCTTATCGACGGGAGTCTTTCGAGGTTTAGTTTGAGTTGATGGCAGGCCTGCAATATTTAGTTGTGCCATAGCAGCGCTCACGGTGCCAACGGGCTCATCCCTAGGCTGTTTAAACTTCGAGTCCAGGACGACATCCGGGTCATCGTAATACGCATCGACTTCAAAACGGACAACGCAGTTCAAAGGGCCGATATAGTACCGAATGACCCTGTGATGACTGCTAGAATTCCCCATTCCATGATCAGGCATGGTGAAGGTCTTCTCGAAGTTATGTCCGTAGCCCGCGTTCGGTGCACCATGGATCATTTGCTGAGCGTTCCGTTCTTTACGGCTAATAACGAGCGTATTGCCGACCATGTGTAAGCCCATGCAGAAAATGTCCAGTTTCCTCCCAGCCGAAAAATCGAGTAGCTTGCGAAGACTGTTGCGGTTGGCGATGATGTCGACTCGATCTAGCACGACGTCGGGTCCCATCACAGCAAGGGCAGCGAAGGCTGGCTCGAAAGGATACTTGGGCACGCGAGATGCGTTCTGATCGACGAAGTGTCTCCCTGAGTCCTGAGCCAGAGTGGTCGGCAGCGGTGGAGGGTTCCACCTCGGAGGTGCACCAGGTACATAGATTGACCCATCACACTGCCAGTTGTAGCTACACAAGGTCTCGAAGCCACGCTCAGACGACACCTTGGTGCCATCTGGCTCCAGTGTTGTTGCTTCTATTGTGCGAACGGGCAGCTCGGTGGTCTCCCGGAACATCCATGACGTTTTCCAAGAAGGCGCCTGGTGTGGAAGCTGTGCCCGGGGTTGTCCTGCTTTCGCAGATTGAGGCCTCAATCCCTTTGATGGAACTGCGTCTCCTTGAGCTAATATTGGAAGCTTCTCTTTAACCGGTACCTTCACTGTTGCAACTTCTGCTGACGCCAAAGAAGTTGTTACGGGTGGAGATACTTTCGCTCCATTTCGCCTAGCACGCTCTCTATGTGTGGAGTCAGACTTGAGTGGAAATTGGGGC